ATTGGGCTGCATTAGTAGGAGCACTGCCAACAGATTGAGGGAAGTGATTATTCCCCTCTATTTGGCACTGGAGAGGCCACATCTGGAGTATTGCCTCCAGTTTTGGGCCCCCCACTACAGAAAGGATATGGACAAACTGGAGAGAATCCAGTGGAGGGCAACAAAAGTGATTAGGGGGCTGGGGCACATGACACTAAACTGGGAGGAGTGGTAGATACGCTGGAGAATAGGGATAGGATACAGAGGGACCTAGACAAATTAGAGGATTGGGCCAAAAGAAACCTGATGAGGTTCAACAAGGACAAATGCAGAGTCCTGCACTTAGGATGGAAGAATCCCATGCACTGCTACAGGCTGGGGATTGACTGGCTAAGCGGCAGTTCTGCAGAAAAGGACCTAGGGGTTACAGTGGATGAGAAGCTGGATATGAGTCAACAGTGTGCCCTTGTTGCCAAGAAGGCTAACGGCATTTTGGGCTGTATAAGTAGGGGCATTGCCAGCAGATCGAGGGACGTGATCATTCCCCTCTATTCGACATTGGTGAGGCCTCATCTGGAGTACTGTGTCCAGTTTTGGGCCCCACACTACAAGAAGGATGTGGAAAAATTGGAAAGAGTCCAACGGAGGGCAAAAAAAATGATTAGGGGGCTGGAGCGCCTGACTTATGAGGAGAGGCTGAGGGAACTGGGCTTATTTAGTCTGCAGAAGAGAAGAGTGAGGGGGGATTTGATAGCAGCCTTCAACTACCTGAAGGGGGGTTCCAAAGAGAATGGAGCTCGGCTGTTCTCAGTGGTGGCAGATGACAGAACAAGGAGCAATGGTCTCAAGTTGCAGTGGGGGAGGTCTAGGCTGGATATTAGGAAAAACTATTTCACTAGGAGGGTGGTGAAGCACTGGAATGTGTTACCTAGGGAGGTGGTGGAATCTCTATCCTTAGAGGTTTTTAAGGCCCAGCTTGACAAAGCCCTGGCTGGGATGATTTAGTTGGTGTTATTCCTGCTTTGAGCAGGGGGTGGGACTAGATGACCTCCTGAGGTCCCTTCCAACCTAATCTTCTATGATTCAATACAAAGTATGCAGTTTATTAATTATTATTAGTATTACCATAGCACCCAGGAGTCCCACTCATGGACCAGGATCCTATTGTGGAAGTTGCTGTGCGACCAAAACAAAGAGTCCCTGCCAGAAGTTTGGCCGAGTTTTTGAATTACTATTCTTGCTTCTTTTAGGGTTTGGGGGACTTAAAGTCTCTGTCAACCCATACTTAAACTTTCTCTCAAGCTCTAAAGGACTGTGTGCACCACCACACACATGCACACACTTTCTCTCTCTCCTCCCACACTCACTCTCTCAAAGCATATGCTTGGCATTTTATAGTAAGAAGGGAGATAAGGATGCAGAGGAAGAAAAATTATTTTTAAAACGAAATGTTTTGTTTTTGTAAGTCACAGTTTGGTTTTTAGAACTCATGTAGATTGTTCTGTTGTTGGAGTGTTCAATACTTCATCGTTTGCTGGAGGGAAAGAGAAAAACATTTTGTCCTTTATAAAATAGTTTAAAAGTGGTTAGGTAGAGGCGAATGAATCAATCTGATGTTTGCGGAATGAAGGATCTGCCTTACTCTTGTAAATGTAGCTCATTCCTATTGAACTTGGGGATGTGATTCTGATATATGATCCTGATTTATGCTTTCCTTTTAAATTTTTTGATAACTCTTGCAGATTCCAGGATGTTTTGTTTATCGCATTACATACAGACCCTTACAAGATGGTCCTAATCAAATAGCTCTTTCTAGCTTGATTCTATCAGTATTGACTTTAAGAAAAGTAAGCTGCTGTTTTATTTTTTAAAAGACTGACTTCAAAACTCTAGATGGTCAATTAATTTTTGTCTGTCTGTGTCTTCTAGATCTGCATGTAGATTTCTTTTTTTTTAATTAATAACTCCATGGAGTTGCTCCAGTCCACCCCAGGAGTCCCACTCTAATCCTTTAGGAAGAGTTTCCTCAATTCTTCTCTGTTCCGTCACATCATCTCACCAGTACTGATGCTCAAGCCTTTATCCTGCATAGCTCATACCATCTGGAACAGCCATCAAGTGTCTGTCCCTCTGCCTTATTATCTGATTTAGAATCTTAGAAGTTTTTTTTTGCTTTCCTCTATTGCCTGGACATTTTAATTTCCTTCTCCCTCAATTATTAACCCTATATAGTAATTTGCCATGCAGCATTTTAAGGACATGATATTAGTTATCTTGGGATACCATTTGTAAAATTATTTTTAAGAGTTGTTCATGGGATTGTGTTATAGGAAATATTCTCAATTTCAATTATTTTACACTCCTGTAATTCTACCACCAGTAAAATTAAGCTGTTAATTTAAAATCTTGAAATAGGTATGTCACGCATATGAGCACAGAAAACCCTAAATCAAAAATGCTAGACATGGATCCAGTGTCAGATCCATGCATAACAAACGTTTACAATGGATAATTCAACCACGTCGGCTTTACATTTTTACATTTGAAACCACCTCCAGTTACTCCTTTCAACAACATTTACATCAATCAGACCAATAGTTTTATTAAACATACAGGTAGGGCATTTGCATAATAAGCCATTATAAGAGAAAATGACACATTGTTTGCAAAATCCTCACAGGGTGAGTATTTGACAATGCTGAAGGCAGTAAGGCAGAAGGTGGAAAAAACTAATGTAACAAATACATGTTGCATGCTGTGTTGTTATACTTGTGTTGGTCCCAGGATATAAGAGAGACGAGGTGGGTGACGTAATACCTTTTATTGGACCAACTTCTGTTGGTGAGAGAGACAAGCTTTCACGCTTACACAGAGCTCCTCTTCAGGTCACCTTAAGAAGAGCTCTGTGTAAGCTCTAAAACTTGTCTCTCTTGCCAACAGAAGTTGGTCCAATAAAAAGTATTTAATAGCAAATACATAACATTCAAAATATTTTTTTAAACCCATTATTTACAATGAAGAAGTTCTCCCCATCTGTGGGGCATAGTGCAATTCTAGCTTAGCTTTATTTCCTTATGTCAGCTGACTCAAAACTAGTGTCTCGTGAGATCATTACATATATTATACACGTTTTTATGCAAGGGTGTTAGCACATTTTGCATGCGTCCACAGCTAATCTCTGCTCCCTAAATCTGCCTCTTTTCTTGAAGAAAAGTACTTAAATCCTAAAGGATAAGGACAGTTATGAAAAATAAATTTATAAGTAGAATTATCTTCTATTTTAAACAAAAAGCTGTGCTCTTCTGATAAATATAGAAATGCCACTAAGGATCCAGGAGAATTCAATGTTCTCTTTTCCTCTTTAAAAAAATAAAAATAAAAAAAAGTTCACTTTGCAAACAGAAAATGTCAGAATCAGTGAGGATTGCATCAGTTTTGCTGGTGCACAACAGGAAAGTCCCAGATTTTTTATATATTAAAAAAAAATTCTGTATTTTTCTTACCTTTGCCCAAAAGCAGCTGGTCATTCATTGTACTAGTCTGCTGAAATCTAGATACTGAGGTTCAACACTCAGCGTCAATTAGTCAGGTTGGATTAGTCAGGTAAATACAAGGCAAAGGACCTCTTTTTGGGTAATCCTGCTTCAGGAGAATAGTATGTCATTGTAATGCACACCTCCAACAGAATAACTGCAACGATGGTACAGGGAAACCGGCAGTAACTTCACAGTCCAATATAACAGGAATCTTAGTGGTGGAGAAGATCACTAGGTCTTGAAAGAGGGCAGCAAACATTTTTTAGGGCAGTGCATGGACCCCCATGGGCTACCTGCACTTCCTTCATCCCTATAATTTTCTTTCTTTCTGCCCATGTTCATAAAAGGGGAAAATGCAGGGTTGCAAACCGATCTTAAATATGCCAAATTCACTGAGACTTCAGGTTAAAGCTTCTAAAAAAAACTGATTTTCCACTGCCTCACTTTTTCATAAAGTTTTGCTCAAATGGATGTAAGTGTTGTCTGGCATGTGGAATCCAATACTTTTTGACTAAAATTATGCTTTTTCATTTGGGAAAGAGCCCACAAAAGATTATTATTGAGAGTGGTTATAGTTAGAAAACTAACCCTAAAAAGTTTGATCTTGATGTTCCAATGTCACATTCACTCACTCAATTTACAAAATCAAAAATAACATTCTTAACTACCATGATTACAAAGACAACTTATTATCTAAAAATAAGAGTGGATTTTTAGTCTTCTAGATTACTCAAGAGCGAAGGCTGCAGAATCTGAGCTTCATGGGCATTTTGCTGATGCTGCTGAAGTAGAATGAGAGAAAGCTCTTCTACTATCAGCTTTACACTTCTGCAGCAGCTGAACAATTTTCTTGCTGTTAATTTAACTACATGACTAAATCATGCAAGGACAGAAGTGCAGAAACCGGTTTTGTTTTTAATCTACGACTAATTTTTCTGAACATAACCACACTAATTTTCACTGTGGAAGTAATGATAAATATCAATTTGACATTTTGTTTTCAAAATATTAGAAGATCACACATTTATATTACCTAGTAAAAAATTTAAGATAAAAATTGAAATACCAATAAAAAACAAACATTGCTTTTTAAACTTAAAAACAAGAACAGTTACTGCAGGGTTTTTTTTCCCTTCAATTTTTTCTTCATCCTTTTAGTCAGAAACATCAATTGAAATAAGAAGTTACAAGCATGAAAAATTAAATTATAATAAGGAATGCATCTATGTGGCAGTGAAAACAAACAATGAGAGTTTAAACTACACTAGTACACTGAGTTTAGAGTAGTGCAAAAGGTCTAGTCAATATAAACATTAGATGGACCACCTTCCCGTTTAAGGAGCTAATTAGTGGTATATGCCACAGACTGAAGCCCGGGGGGGGGGGGGGGGGGGGGGGGGGAAAACAAAAAAAAAAAAACAAAAACACAGACCACCAAACATTGGGTTACAAGGATTAGTGAGGGATTCCAGAAGGATGGCTCACCCAAGTTGTGTCGTTTTGTCTTCGCGTGCTCGTGAATATGTTTCTTTGTAAAACAGCCAAAGAAGACACAATAGAGGCAAGAGTGGAGTCTGTTCAGGTGGGCACCACACATGTGACAAATGCACGACTTTGCCTGAAATACAGAAATGGACAGTAATTATGAACAGGAAAAAACCTATTTACACAGGTTAGCATTCTATTAACTCTTTAACCCATTTATGTTGCATTTATAAAGAAGCTATCTAGAAGCAGAAATAAACTCCAAACGAGCAGTTAATTGAGTGTCTGAAGTATGCCAGAATGACAGCAGGGATAACTCAAGTTCGGTCTCCACAGAAACTACAGGCAGTGACAGTACAAACTACTCCACTGCCCCAACACATTTCAAAACCTTAATCTGGAGCAAATCACGTCTAGGAATAGCTAATATCCACACCTGTTCACAGTTGCTAGCTTCTCTATTGCGTATACCAACAATGGTGTCAATTGCAAGATGTTTTTGACATCTTGCATTTGGAGATGGTACATCACCAACTGACTTCATATAGGTCAACCAGCTACAGAAGTCTTTTGGTCACTAACTAATCTGGGCTGGATTTGAAGCAAGTTTTTGGAAGATTAAAAAGACTCCATTTCCCTGCACCATCCAGTCCAGCAAGATATTTAATGACAACTGATCTGGGTCATTTGAAGTGAAGAACACACAAACCTAACATGGTAGTTTGCTCTCCTGTTGCTATGGTACATTTTAACTAACAACCCTGGCAAAGAAGTGTTCAAATATTGGAAGGTAGATTTTTAAGTCTTGATCTGATCAGAACTCTTCTTTAAATTGATATTCCCTATTTTTTTCTTCCCTTAGGTGCCCAGCTCAGATGTGTCAATAAATCCCTTGAGAGACTTCTATTATTCCTAGTTTGATGCAAACAAATAAAAAGAATTTAGGGATAACAAGGCCAAGAAAACACCACAAACTGTTTAGCAGTAAATATTTTAAGTTTCATGTTCTACCCTTGGTTGCACACTGGTAGCCAAAATGATTCAAGTTTAAATCATTCCTTCATATCAGAGTGATGTGGACAACAATTCTAGCAACAAATGAGTAAGTTAACCTAGAAACCAAGAGAATGGTGTTCAAATTCAGATATTAACTATTCTGTAACAGCTCAAAGCTACAAAGACTACTTCAAGATAATAGGAGCACCACTACAGTCAATGACTATGGAGACAGCACTTTTTTATGCTGGAATCCAATGATAAATTTTCCAGATGTTAACTGATCAAATACAAAACTCAAGGCTCACTTTTTAAAGGCAATAATCTACTAATCTATACAGTCTATATGATCTGCAACAAACCCCGAAGAGTCCACCTTTAACAGTATTTGCCCAGGCTGCCATAATTGCTGTCACAACACTCTTGGTGTAAAAATCAGCCAAGCAGTTTACCATCTAATGCACTGAGGCCTTGGCTACACTTGAGAATTCACAGCGCTGCCACGGCAGCGCTGTGAAGCGCGAGTGTAGTCGCGCCGCCAGCGCTGCGAGAGCTCCACCTCTCCGAGGGGAATAGCTTGCAGCGCTGCAGGCGCTGATTCCACTGGCGCTTTACAGCGCTGCACTCTGGGGGGAGGGCGTTTTCACACCCCTGAGCGCAGCAAGTTGCAGCGCTGTACAGCGCCAGTGTAGCCAAGGCCTGAGACTTATTTTTAGCTCTTTCAAAAGTGGTCTTAAATCTTGAATCACACATATTGAGAGTTCAAAGTTCCCGAAAGTCCTGTTAGATGAAAGTAGATCAGTTAAATCTAACAGCACACACGTACAATAAAACATTTTAAATTAGGACCAAAGCCTACCACCACCACAATTTATATGTAAAGAAAAATGCTGCAAATCTGTCAAACTGATGTTTAAACAGTGCTCTTTGGCTGCAAAAGCTAAATATGATCAACCTATCCATTAGAGATTGTTGCTATGACAACAGCTCAGACTCAGACTAGCGACTGGCTATTTTACTTCTTAGCAAATTGTAGATGAGAAGTCTTTTAGCATTAAATGTAAGACACGAGTGTGCAGAAACTGCTGAGCATCTTACAGTTTTACTGCCTTTTAACCCATCTTTTCATAAATACGCTTTAGTTACGTAATTTTAATTCAGTCAAAATTAAGCAGAACAATGAAACAGTAAATTAATCTAGTATAATTATGAAGTAATTCACAATCTTTATTTAAAAAATTATCACAAGACCTACGTTAGTATGTCAAGAGTTAGAAACACCAGAGACGGGACTTCAATCTTCAATATGGCTGGGCTCTATTCATGTAAATTATTGATAGTGGTGACTAAAAGCAAGTCCTTACTGTTAACTATTCTTCTGCCCAGTCTCCAAAAAAGACCTAATCCACTAGACATACTAAGCTATAAACCCAGGGCATGGCACACATAAGGAAACTGGTAATCACAAGGCACTTTATGAATCATTCATTAGCTCAGGATAAATAAGCCAATTTCTCTATGGCTGCTATTTTTTACGCTCAGTATTGCAATACACTCAACAGGAGTTAAAGGAAAAGGGCAGGCATGACAAATAAATTGGGTTGTTGACACTCTCTGGTGTCTTCAATTGTCAGAAGTTTGTTATTAATTTACCACCTAAAGGATAGCAAATCATCAAAACACTGGTGCAGAAAGTTAATGCACCAGCCTGACAGTATCCTGAATTCACAGTCTTCCTTTGCATGCCAGTTTCTGTTCCAAAATCTCTTTCTGGAGTAGCATGGGCTTCAAGTGCAGTGAGAGCAGCATGTTGGGTACATGGTGAATTGGTATAGAAAGCAGTTTGTGTCATTTAACAGCAGTCCCTAAACAATGTAGTAGATTTGAATGACAAAATTCTGTCCCTATCCATGTGGACAGTGGCTAGAATATAAAAAAACCAGACTACAATAAAGTTTAGCTGTTGTAAATCGGTCCTCTATATTGCCAGCTATTTGAGAAGTAGCTAAAAAACTCAATTTTCACTGAGCTGAAAGTCAGAATAAATAATATCCTTTATTTACAAGTTTTCAGGAACAGAGATTTAAGGAATCTTGCCCTTATTTCCATGCTAAACAATAAATTGAAGCACATTCGGAAGTCAAGCTGTTTTCAGACCTGTGTTTGGAAATCACCCAAAGACTTTTCATCTCCTGTGGCCAGTGAACAGTATTTCAGTAAATTCATTAAATGAGCAGAAATAGATAATACACCTCTACCCCGATATAACACGAATTCAGATATAATGCAGTAAAGCAGCGCTCTGGGGGGGGAGAGGGGGCTGCGCACTCTGGTGGATAAAAGCAAGTTCGATATAACGCGGTTTCACCTATAACGCAGTAAGATTTTTTGGCTCCTGAGGACAGCGTTATATCGAGGTAGAGGTGTACTATCAAGAAGAATGGGGGCAGCTTGAGGGGTAAATGATCTCAAGCTAGACTTTTTAAATACAAGTACATGGTGTAATATTTAAAGCCATTCCAAGAGTCACCATGATGCGTTGGCAATATTTTACCAAGGTCTGCCCAAAATTCCTTTGTCTTGCAATAATTCTTCATCAGTGGTGTGTGTCAGACAGTGAAGAACCAGAAATCTACACTTGTTTCTCCCATTTTAAAACACACACCCCCCAAACCACCCAAACTAAACGCCCCTAATATACACAAACACAGAATAAAGGATGTGAGGGGATGAGGAGGGAACAGCACTTGACACTTGATTTTTTTTAAATGTATGTCAAAAGCACCTAGTGCCTTTGAATGGTGTTTTACTTCTCCAAAGAATTAAAAAAAAAAAAAAAAAAAAAAAAAAAGTTATGCACACTTCTCTAGAAGGCTTATACCTAAGCCCAGCAGATAAAAGTACTCGGTACAAGGTGGTATTCAGCAGTTTCCAAAGAGGGGTAAACTACAGAGACAAGGAGGAGCTACATTCATTTTGGCAACACAATTTTGACACAGGGTTCTTGTGAGCACCCAACAAGTATTACAGTAATTACTAGGCATGAGAAAGGGGTAACTCCAGAATAAAGAAGGGAAACTTTACTAATATATCAAGAAGCTAAGGGCGCCTGGCAGTAGATTTTTTTTTTTTTAATACTAAACCAGCAAACACCATCATAATACCAGGAGGAAGAGTATGTTTATGTTAAAAGTTCCTTTGCTCTAACATCAGAATTACTGCTACTAATAGTTTGCATTTCTCTAGCACCTACCATTTGAAAATTTCCAAGGGCTCTAACAACAAGCAAATTCAGCCTCAACACCTTCTGGGGTGGGTAAATGTTCCCAATCCTCTCTAGCCCCACCCCTTTGCCAATTTTCCAGATTCAAAACATGAGTTACAGAGAGGTTAAGCAGCTTGCCCCAGGTCGCACAGAAATCTGTGGCAGAGCCAGGAATAGAGAACTCGGGTTTCCTGAATCCCCAGTCCTGCCACTCACGTGTAAACAGAAATGAAGAGCACTGTAAACCCAAGGTTTGGGTTTTTTAGTTGTCACGCTATCTGGAAAACAGATCCAATCTGAAAAAAATACACTTAGTGTCTGACCAAAATGGAAAGATTCCCAAATTGATTTCAGTGAATCCTGGGTCAGAACCCTAGTAGGAGAAATTAAATGCTTCCTCAGCAGATAGTAAGACCTCAACTGATGGTAAAAGTCACATTTACTTTAGTATATATATTTTAAATAAAATGCTCTAGGTTCATCTATACTGTTTATTATTTATAACTTTCACTAACCTTGCAACATGTAGATTGTAGTATCTGTAAGCACTTTTTAAATTCTTTTGTAATTTCTTTAGTCATCCATATTACAATCAATATCCTTGTGTCTTGTACAAGGACAGTACACAAGAGGCAGCAGGAGGCATGTGACGCTGGATCCTTTTCCCTGTGCTTCTTTCTCAAATGACAAATGCATAAATAGTCACAAAAGACTATGATACAACAGATCATTGGCCCTTTCTACACACTTGAGATGCAGGCCAAAAAGCAATCCTAATGATGAAATTTCTTTTGCGTTAAAGCCTTGGGGGAGGAGAAAGCCAATATTAAACCAAGACAGGCAAGATTTATTACTCCGGAGGTGACAGG